CCTTAATATAGCACTTATTCGCAAAATTCTTGCGACAGCATGTTTCCAAAAAAAAAAAAAACTGCACATATATCTCTTTTTAAAGATTTTCGGACCTCAGGGCTGTTTACTGGCCCTTCAAGGGCTCGTTTTTTCTGTTAGGCACAATATTATTGAGAACTAGCATACAATACTGCCGGAGAGAGTATAGTGGATGTTATTCGAAGTAATTGTAATGTAAATTTGAAAAAGAAAACTGGACGAAAAGATGAGTTGCTGCGGGCAGGAAACGAACCTGTGACCTTCGACTAATGCGTTCGATGATCTACCAACTGAACTGCCACGGCGGCTATCCACCCGTCCACTTTATGGGGTATATATGCGTCTTAAACGCATATATACCCCATAAAGTGGACTTGCCGTCATGGCGAGTGTGGAACACTCTTGCCTGTTTGGCGTCACGTAGTTAGTGGTCTTATTACGAGATGGCAGCTGACATCATGAAAGACTTGGACGCCGGTCATTAGTGCCATGTTTGAAACGTTACGTTTAGCGGCGCCCCCTCACCTCAAGCTAAGTATATTGTGGCATAGCCGAGCTATGCCACTGCTTGATTTTTTTTTTCTCCCAGGCTAGCTTTTCATCTCCAGGAAAAATAAAATACCCACGTTTGTTCGTATTACAAGCTTAAAGTTTGTTATAGTAGACGCGAGCACACTTTGCGAAGTTGCTGCCGCTGATGGACATGCGCTCTTTTCGATTGAAGATTGTCGTCCTTCAAAATGCCCTTTGAAGTTTTTCTAAAATCGGAGCTTACCGGATAAATCCGAATTTTCAAAAACCTTACTGGTGGGTGTTTATCAAATTTCTTTCGAATTTACCGGAAAACACTGAGCCCTAATTATAATATCGCCCTTCCATCCAGCACGTGGATTGATAGTGTTTTAATGTAGAACAAAACGTGTAAGACACGGCACCGACAATTTCGAAGGACAATCCCTGATGACAGTTAACAGCGTGTAACACCATAACCACAGTGAAGGCGCGTTTACACTAGAGAGACACGACACCGATTTTGGCCTCCCGACTGTGTATTTTGTCTTGTAATCGTCCTATGCACACTGCAAAGGCACAAACAGTCTGTCGAAGACTACGCCCACGCCTTGATCACAGCCTTTCGTTGGCCAATTCTGTAGTCACACTGCAGGCACACGCAGCGACCTTTCACGCCTGCACCTAATTTTCAGCTATGCTCCTTGCTCTGTCATTGTCCCTCTCCGGTTACGCTGAGCAGCGCCCGCCATAATCCGCGGCATCGAGAGACCAGTCTGCGTAGACACAAAAGGGGAGCGAAGAAAAGACTTCCGGTGGGTGCTCAAAATGCCTATTCAGACACCACGGAAGCTTCGAAAAAGGCATTGTTATCTCCCCCAAGATTGCTCCCTTCGTGGTCGTTTGAAGCGAAGAGATGGGGCAAATTTTCGCTTAGCCGCAGATCTCCCGAAGACACACCCACGACAGGTCTGCGGATGCGTTTTGCTACGACGACATGCTGTCTTTTGAGGCGCCGTCGTCGAGGGAGCCAGCGCCACGACCACCCTGGCGGTGAGAGCGCGCACTTCTCAGCTGCTCCCGCAGACGAGAGTTGCAGCTGGTAGAGGCGTTGCGTGCGCGCATCGTCGTAACAAGACCAAAGGGCGCTGGCGGTACTGCTGCGTATTCTAGTGCAAGCCATATATAAACAAAGGGAGAGCGTATAGAGGAAAGGGAGGAAGTAGAAAAAGGAGGTGGCGTTGCATCCAAGCGGTCAGGCGAGCGAAATTCTGCTCTCGCTCTCCTGTCTAGTGCTGTCGGACTCGTTTCTAAACTGAACGGCGCGTGTCTGCTATATTTATTCGATAGTGTAGACAACCACCAGTGGAAAACATGGACAAAGAGTCTAGTTTGAACGGCATTTTGCCGGAAATAAAACGAGCGTATTATGCAATATAGGTCGCATGTAAACTGTTTTTTTTTTTCATCTGGCCCACTGAGCGTTTAGTCATGCACTTCAGGACTAACGAAGTTCTTATGCGTCCATCTATCTGACCGCCACCATCAAACTCCTATGCCACCGCGTGAAGTGAATGATACGATTGGCAGGAATTTTTTTTTTTTTTGTAAACAGTTGCGTGTAAAGGAAAGTTGCCTTGTCACGAGGCTTGTGCGGGGTCACGTTCACCTACGCCTCTGAGCTGTCATAAAAGATACTCTCACGGTGAACACTCCATGCAGAGTTGTCTCTGGTCGACTTAATTTGTGCAAAAGTCAAGGTTCTTGTCACCAACAAAGCAGTAGGACTACTCGAAGCTTAGCTTTCTGGAGTCAGTCGATGCGGTAAGCGTTTTTTCTCACTGGCTGCCGTCGCTGAGTAACATCGGAATTCATTATTGAAAATTGGGCAAGCTGGTAACAATTGATTGTTCAAGGTACAAACAGTGTGACAAACGAAGACAGAGAAATAGGAATACACAGGACGAGTGCCGTCCTGTGTCTTTCTATTTTCTCCGTCTTCGTTCATCGCACTGTTTACCTTGAACAATGAATCCGAATTTCTGCCTTGCTAGAGAAGTATCGAACGTCTTCGATTTTCACTCGTTGTTTAGTTTGCCTAACAACACAGTTTCAGTATTTCCGCTTGCCTGTGTCGGCCTAAGTTGATGGTGTCTGTTCAACATCGATAACTGCTAGGCCTTGATGGGCCAAACAAGATATTTTGAGGTACACTGTAGTGTGCGTATCGGTACACTGTAGTGTGCACTGTACAGGTGCACTGTAGTGTGCGTATCGAGATTGTGACCGCTTGGGCTTCTCCAATGCGCACATATATCTTAATTCATGGGTGTTTTTTTATATATATTTCACCCCCATCGAAGTGAGACCGACGTGGATCGCTAATCTATTCCGTGCCCTCAAGAATAGTAGCGCGACACCACACGTGCTATGCTGCCACGGTGGTTTGCTTGATCAACGTCCCCGTGCGTGCATACCGCGGACAGGGCGTACAAACTATAGACCAGGAAAAAAAAATGATGCAGCTACCGCTTACCCTGCTTTTGTTTTTTGTTTCGTTTTACTGCAGATGTTGGCAGCTTGGTATCGTCGCAGCACGCACTTGTCAATGAGGGCATGTCAGCCAGCGCTAGCATTAGCCCAACCCTGCACGCAATCAGAAAATGAGGACGAGGGAGCTGCCATCACGGCACAGCGCTGTCCCTTCATATATGCATAGACGCAGTCCACTCTGTAGGGCTTTTCTCCGTTTTTTTAGTGATTTTTATATGCGAGTAGCCTCCGGACAAAGTTATTTTTCTAAACCACAGTGCAGTATTACTGGCGCAATGGCTTTTCGAGCTTTTCGTTTCAAAATGAAGCACAGCAGCAGTGCAGGCGCGTGCTCTCACAGTGGTACACTGTGGTCGGTCGTTTGGGCGCGAGCAGCTGACTTGTGTCGCGACTCTCCGCCAGGTGCTCTTTTCCGGTGCGCCACCTATCCAGCGCTGGTCCCCTGACCACGTGGTCTGGCGACTTCGTCGGCGGGTGACTCGTGGACCGATGGTCTGCGTCTACCTCGCGTCTTCGTCGGGGTCATATCAGTGTCGTGTCGCTCTATAGTGTAAACGCGCCTTGAGCCTTCCAGCCTTCACGCAAGTCTACAGCCTTCGCTATCGCGAGCAGGCCACAGTATTTCGCTCTAGTACGAGTAAGCGTGTGTGATTGTGTGACGGTGAATATAATCGTGCCTAAATAAGTAATCGTAAAGTTAATCGATCACATTTCTCTAACTGCTCATTTACTTTCCTGGCGCTGCAATCGCCCACTGCGATTGATTGCGTTTTATAGAAGATACTTTTTTGCGTTTAAAGAAGATCAGTTACTTATTTCGGTAACGTGTACAGCTGTGATAGTAGTGCTGCCCTCGCTCAATTTGAGGGCCGATGGCACGAATGTTTGCGTGTCTTCACGTACAGATTCATACATGCCATGGAGTGACGTACATATGCTAATCTGATTCACAGTTGAAACAGCCACTACAGCGCCAGCGGCTAAGGTGCGGCGCGGTCTCGAGGACGCGGGTTAGATTCCAGGCAATGGCGGCCGAAGTTAGGTGATTCTACAATGAGTTACAACAATTCACTTCGCTTTAGTAACATAAAATGTGCGCGTGATTGATTGATATGTGCGTTTAGCGTCCCAAAACCACCATATGATGGTAAGAGACGCCGTATTGGAGGGCTCCGGAAATTTAGACCACCTGGGGTTCTTGCAGCCAAATCTGAGCACATGGGCCTACAGCATTTTCGCCTCCATCGAAAGTGCCGCCGCCGCAGCCGGAATTCGATCCCAAGACCTTGCGGGTTAGCAGCCGAGTACCATAGCCACTAGACCACCATGGCGGGGCAGGTTCGCATGGCTTGTATCAGGCCCCGCCGTGGTGGTCTAGTGGCTAAGGTACTCGGTTGCTGACCCGCAGGTCGCGGGATCAAATCCCGGCTGCGGCGGCTGCATTTCGATGGAGGCGGAAATGTTGTAGGCCCGTGTGCTCAGATTTGGGTGCGCGTTAAAGAACCCCAGGTGGTCGAAATTTTCGGGGCCCTCCACTACGGCGTCTCCCATAATCATATGGTGGTTTTGGGACGTTAAACTCACATATCAGTCAATCAATCAATCAATCAATCAATCAAGTGGCTTGTATCAGTTCAAAATCTTGATCTACGGCAGAGCACTTCGTAGCACACTGCATGTGCAGGTACGCAAATACAGTGCCGTGAAACTGGACTTGATAAAAAACTCCTTAGGACAGCGTGCTAATAAAACAAACTTATCCACGCCCAAGCGTATACGCACAGACAACAGCTTAAACGCTTATGCATACGTTTCAAAGAAGCTTCGCGTAACTTACACATCCCGACGCTTCGTCTAATTTGTTCAAACAAAGGCGTTATTTTCGTTTTCTCCCTCTCTCGTTATGATTGCCGTACCTGCAAATGCGCCTGGTGTCCTGGAAGCGACCTGGTCGCATTCATGAAGTAGTTGGAGCAGCGGAAGAAGTGTCCGATGAAGTTGTACCCGTCGCAGCTGTTCTCAGCATCCGAAGCACCTGGAGTGAGGCGCACAAAAGCGAGATAATAAACATTGATTAATTGATTGAATAATTTTTATGAGTGGCCGAGGGCCGTTTGGGGTAAAGGAAAAGCGAACACAAAATCTAGGAACTTCACTTCAAAGATGTACTGGCACGATTTTCAGACATCGTAAAGGGAACATTTTCGTTTCCTTGGTATGCAGTGTTGACCCTATCCACACACCGGAGTCAGACAACGTGAATAAAATAATATCTCTTACGTCAAAGGTATCAACGCTGAGCAAGAGCCCGCCAGCCCCACAGCAACGGGCATTATCCCAACTATAGTCAAAACAGTTCCGCTGAGTTTGAATGAACTCAGTTTCCTACGTGCAGCCTATAGCACAGAAATCGCTGTCGGAGTCATTAGAGACAATATAATTGAGAGTTGTTGCCGTGTACCACGAGCACATGGGAGACATGCCGCTAGTGCGTCGAGAATCGCTGTCTCCCCGTGACGCCACACTGCCGTGACACGTCCCAGGGAAGCTGCACTCTCGATATCGGAACCAAAAGAGTAATTTCAGAGGGAATGCAAAGAGCAAAACTATTTCACGCGCGTTAGTAATGTACAATTTCACAATCCCGAAAACGTGCACTCTTACAGCGACACGACGCTTAGCGAGAAAACGCGTGAAAAGAAAATGAGGGTGATTCGGAAAGATAAACGATTTTTCTGGGGTTAAAAGGGCCGAACCCACCGTACATGATAGCGAGGCGATGCGTCTGCTCACCGTCTTTGTCGGTGAGGAGGGACACGAGGGCGACATTGCCTGCTTTGTTGTCTCCCCGACACTTGTCCATGAACTTATGCGTGAGGAACTCGAAGAACTTCTCGGCGTCCTTGTACAGCTGGTCGGGGGGAGCGCAGCCGTACGTCTCCAGTGAAGTGTTGTGGCACTTCTTGTACCTCTCGATGTACCTGTCGGACAGGGTTTTGCCGTTGGGCACACATGACAAAGAGCCAATACGCGGCATGCTAAACGTATCCTACATCGCTTGGGACACTTCATGTTAGTGCCATATTTGCAGCTAAAAAGAAAAGTGATATTATGGATAAAGTTGTTATAGCACGAAATAAATATAATTGTTTAAGTGAAAAATAAGTACAACAAAAACGATATTTTCTTCCCTTCTGCTTGGTCTCCAAGCCACACTCTCAAATGAGATAAATTATTACACTTTTATTGCGCCTACAAACAGTTTGCCTACGATAGATCGAGTTTTTTGCAAAGTAACATTTGGGCTAACATTAAACGTTGGAGCTGTTTAATCTTGAAGCCGTCGAGCGACGTAGGTACATAGTTACAATAATTTTCAGTCCAGCTTCAATCACCGAAATATGATCGAAAATGAACAGTCCAGCTTCAATCACCGAAATATGATCGAAAATGAACAGTCCAGCTTTATTATGCAGCGGATATCTATTTGACGAGCTGTGTTCAAGCATTAGACTCTGACCTCCGTGGTGTCCGGTTGAGTTTTCTAGTGGGACACGCAGCCCCAATCACGCAGCCTATCAGATTAAAAAAAAAAACAAAGAAAAAAGGTAGGTGCCATGCGTTGCCGGAGTTAATTGATGCAATGCGAAGCAGCCAGCAAGGAGCCATTTATGCTGTACATAACATGCACATCAGGATTTACGTATTCAGACCCGTCATTTATGTTCCTCATACAGTCCCGTCACGCAATACCAATATTAGAGAGTTTTAGTACTGCGTACGCTGCGTACGTGGCGGCGTTGCGTACGTAAGAACGCCACGTTCTGCGTAGTGCGCATGCGCAGACCGCCACGCGCACGTATCGCGTTACGTACGCAGCCGCTACGTACGCACGCATGAGATGCGTGCGTGCGTACGTATGAGGTGATCGCGCCGCTCTCGAACAAGTTTGCGACAGCGCGAGACTTCGTTTTGCAAAATGGCGGCATCGAAGGCAAGCACCGACCGGCTCTGTGGCTTAATATATGGCCATAATCTGGTTATAACACTTGGATTGGCTCACATTGGCTGTCAACAACACGTGCTTCTATTTTGATCTACCAGATGACGCAACACGCTTCACGCTCGCTACGTACGCGGGTACTACGGCGTACTAAAAACCGATTGGTGGCAAACGACGCCACGTAACGCAAGGCGCTTGCGTGATGCGTACGTAGCACCATTCCGCAGTACTAAAACTCTCTATTGATCAAGCGAGTACGCCATGAGCGTCGGATGCAAGTGATGCTGTGCATACCATGTCATGTTATTTTTATATCAACACTTGTCGTTTAAGTTTGTCATACAGTCACGCCGTGTAATACCGAGCTTGTCGCATGTATGTATATCACATGGATTTTGTTATTTTCCATTTATGATCTGTAATTTATGTTCGTCCTATAATCACGTCACGAAATACCAAATTCTATGTATATCAAGTTAGCGAACGGCCCGCTAGCGGGCCATAAGCATGTCATGTCATGTCATGTCATGTTAAACATGACAACCACGTCATGATTTTCATGTTACCACCTGTCATTTATATTGGTCGTGCAGATATGTCTCATCACACCAATTTTTGGATATATTAAGTTAAAGAAACAACCACAGGAGCACCGCAGCCGTGAAGTGTAATCCGTCCCGTTCATGAAAAAATTGTCATTTTCTTGATCCGACCAGTCGATCATCTTCGTCAGACATGTTATACAATACCAATTTTGGTATGAACGATACTGCCTCTAGAGCACAATGTCGTAGGCGGCTGATCAGACAGACAGACCAGACAGACCAGACAGAGATAGATAGATAGATAGATAGATAGATAGATAGATAGATAGATAGATAGATAGATAGATAGATAGATAGATAGATAGATAGATAGATAGATAGATAGATAGATAGATAGATAGATAGATAGATAGATAGATAGATAGATAGATAGATAGATAGATAGATAGATAGATAGATTTTGTAAATCCAGGCGCTCAACCGACAAGGGACGGGGCGTGAAAAAAGGCAGCACGTTTATATAATGCATTCCCATAAATGAGTAAATGGTCTACAACTACATAAATGAATTCGTAACCTCTGATTTGATGATTGATGTGTGGGGTTTGATTGATTTGTGGGGTTTAACGTCCCAAAACCCCCATTTGATTATGAGAGACACCGTAGTGGAGGGCTCCGGAAATTTTGACCACCTGGGGTTCTTTAACGTGCACCCAAATCTGAGTACACGGGCCTACAACATTTCCGCCTCCATCGGAAATGCAGCCGCCGCAGCCGGGAATCGAACCCGCGACATGCGGGTCAGCAGCCGAGTACCTTAGCCACTATAGACCCCCACGGCGGGGCAGTGTGTAACCTCTGCCAGTAAAATGACCCCTAGAGTTCTAGAACATGCAGTGCACGGTTATCGCGGCCCTGACACAGCGCATTTGATCGTGCACCACTCGACGTGAACCACTCACACGTCGCTGTCGTCGAGGTGGTCCGACGTGTCGCTGTGTCTCCTGGAGTTGCCACGCCTACGGGGTGCACTGCCATATACTACACGGCAGTCGCTAGGACGATCGCTTTCGCTGTGTGGTCGATGTCCAAACCGGCGGTCGGTCACGCCCGAGAACACTAGCAGGCCGGCCCAGCACGCCCTGAGGATTTCCTGGCTCGGGTCACCGACTCGCCCACAGGTCTCGACCGTGACCGCAAGCACCGCCGTCGCCTGGCGTAGGCTCGTCATTCGAGCTCGTCCGCAGTCCAGCAGTGGCAGGTTGGACACAGGTAGCTGCCACGAACCGCCATTCTGCCACACTTTCCCGATTTGCTCCTCGAGCGTTCCAAAAACCGCCTTCCCTCGTGCTCCCTCACGAGCGGCGCCGCCGCGCACCACTCACGCACTTTCGTCTCCTTCTGTCTCCCAAATTCAGTTTTCACTAATCAATTTACCCCACTCGTCACAGCTCCCCCACGCTTCCAGAACGCTTGTGTCAGCGGACGAACATTTATCTAACACGACACAACGGCACACCAAATCACCACACGCCACCACCACGAACATCACTGCACAACCACTAAGGAACTTGAGCTCACGCACACCACCGCAGCTCACAACGAGGCGCCGCACACACTACGGCACCGTTGAGGAAACGCACAGCACGGTGGGTTTCTCGTTGTTTTCACTTGGTCCTCTATGTGAAGTGACGACAGCCGCCAAGCTCCAGCTTGCCATAGGCACTAACGTCTTCGTTATATGCCGTCACTTGAACACCGGTCCTGTGACGTCGCTGTGCTGGGACTGCCTACCAGAGTCCTTGGGCGTGGTCGAGCGCGGGTTCGGACATCCACCACACAACGAAGCGGCCGTCCCAGTGACTGCCGTGGTGGCGCAGCACCCGTAGCATCCACACCTCACGAGGCACAGCGACACATCGGACCACCTCGACGACAACGATGGCCGAGTGCATGGTCGAGTGGTGCGCGACTATATGCGCCCTGTCAGGGCCGCGAGAACCGTGCACTGCATATTCCTTAACTGTGGAGACCATTGTACTAGCATAGGTTATGAACCTAAGTGTTCATTTATGTAGTATACCCCATTTATGTATTTACGTAAATGTTATTAAAACGTTCCGTCTAAGTCTAAGCCTTATCTATTGTGGGTTGGATGCCCGAGTTCACAAAAGCATATCACAACAGACCGACAGACAGGTTATCAGCCATTGTATCGACATGCAAGAATAAAGTTGTCACTCACTCACTCACTTGAGATGCGAGCCAAGATAAGTTGCCACGTGTTGCCACCTGCTCCGATAATTCGCGACTCACACACTGTGCGAGTTAAATGGACCACACACACACCTACTTATGTGCAAGTGCAAAACGCCGCGTATAATCAGCAGCACTGCAAGCGATAATAAAGAAAAAAGCGTAGCGAGGGCTCAAACTCCTTCTTCCCCGGAAATTTTCAATTTTGCTTGCTTGCATATACACGCACACATTGTTACGACCGTCATCATTATTCAAGTTTTTCGGTCTTTGTGAACGGGACGAAAATATTTCGACGCATTCCAAGCAAGGGTGTGCCGTCAAGGCGGGTTGATATCCTCTCAACAAAACCTGAACGAGGGGTTCGGGACTGGTTCGCGCAAAGAAAACGCACGAGCCAAGAGAGGCCATTGTGAGCACGACTCAAGAAATTCCATTGTGTTTGCTGGGAGCAAGGCTTTCGAGGCAGACAAGGAGGCAGCTGGGCCATTTTCGATGTCACCGAGGATCCGGGAATCTCGGAACCAGCATGGTATTTGCAGTTCAGGCTGAAAGCTAAAGCCAAACTAGTTGTGGCTGCACTTTCGAGGAGAAGCAGAGCCCCGGATATTAACAGCTAAGCGGCAGCTTCTAGCAAACAACGAGGAATGGAATGTGGGGCTGAAGAAAAGGATAATGCACCATCTGCTGCAGCCCTTGTCGGAGCCCGCCTGGGCGACGAGGGATTAGTTGACTCCTCCCCCCCCCCTTTCTCCATAGGATCGGCTGAATGAGGTGGCACATTTCGACGATACCCTGGCCAACCACTACATTGTCCTACCCAAACAGTCAGGCAAGTTTTACATGTGTACTGGCAGCCGGTTTTTCGAACCTCATCCAGCTGCCAGAAGAATCTTGGAAACCAAAATCATCGGACGTGCGTGGAAAGTTAGTGACGAGTGCGAAAACGTCGGTGCAGTGCTTTGGTGACCATATTTGGGCATCGTGTAGACTGTGCCCTCTCCACATGCATTGTGTGGTGTCTTTCCCCTCCTTCGTGGGTGCAGCACCTAGCCCATGGAGCACCCTATTGGCGGGAGCCGCGGACAATGCGCCCAGGGTTGGCAACGTGGCGCTATATAAGCGGAAGGCTTTTGCATATTTGAGGTTCTACAGTTCAACAGCTCTCATGTACAGTTCTGATCACTTGATCACCTCCTTTCTAATTCTCAGTTACTAACCATGTAAATAAATTGTTGTTTTTACGAGCGCCTCATCTGACTTGTTCGACGATGGGTCCTAGGACTGGGGCCCGCTACCAAACTGAGACCCGCGGGACCCGGAGTCGCAACAACATATACACGCACACATACAAAGGCATGCACGAACGTATATAAAGTATCCCCCCCCCCCACGCGACAAAAAAAAATTCTGGCAACGCCCTTGATGAAAAAAAAAAGTTCCAGTACCATATTGTACTTGTACCTCCACTCGTACAATCTATCAGTGCACATGTCGTTGCAGCAAGGGGGCACTTACGAACACTGATTGATGCTGGAATCCTTCCGGGCTATGTCCATGATGTTGGCAAAGTGGAAGCCACACAGGAACATGTCGTTGATGAACCTCTGACGGTTGCAAGCAGTCGTGCCCTTCTGAAAGGCTGAAACGGTAGTTCAAATGCCTGTTCTGATAACACAGAAAGTGTTTAACTGTGGCGCGTCAATACTGCTCTTTCACAAAGCTTAGACTCGAGCGAACCAATGGAAAGATTGCAGTCTCCTTCAGAGCATCGAGCATCATAAGTTGGGAAGTCAAGCGGGCAGCCGTTCCAGGACGAGTCAGTATATAGCAGCTCCATTATAGGCCCCAAGAGCGAGAAACCGACAAGAAGCTGCAGATGGTGTTATTCGTTCCGCTACACTGCTCGCTGTGACTAGATTCAAGGTCCCCATCTCTGAAGTGCTTCTATGCATTCGTAAGAATGCTTGTTGTAACCCGAAGGTCGCGTGTTCCATTACAGCTGCTTTTTGGTAAGCCTTCATTCTGACATTGTATTGGTAAATACAGAGATCTATTATTACTTTATCTATAATAATAATAATAATAATAATAATAATAATAATAATAATAATAATAATAATAATAATAATAATAATAATAATAATAATAATAATAATAATGATGATGATAGCTGTTTTTACGCCCCGAAGCCACACTATGATTATCAAACAAAAAATCGGCAGTTCCCACGTACCTTGGGAATCGACGTTATGCGAAGCATGCAGAGGGAAGGTATCGAGTTGTAATTTTTTATTGAGTGGCGCGTTATGAAATCACGCTAAGTATATGTGCAGGTGTTGCACGCGGAGACATATGTTAAAGAGTTGCAGATGTTTATATAACCAGTTCTTTGCCCTTGCGAAACGATGCCAACAGGAACGTGAGAATTAGCAACACCAGATGCGATAAACTGACATGAAGCGCTGGTGCTCGCGAATATGGTACCCCTGAACGCTTTTACATAAATCGTCTTCAGCGCATGGCACCCAACTACAATTGACGTTAACCCGACGTGACGGCTGTATCATACACGAGTACATATGTGATGTTTATAAAATTGGACAGCCAGCACTGCAACCACCATTCACGTTTCACGAACATTAGGGTCTATTTGAAAAGTAAACAGTTCCGAGACCTAGCGTGGTTGTATGGTAGAATACTGAACTGCTACGCAGAATGCTTGCGTTCGATTCCATCTGGGACCATGACATTTATTTTATTTTTTTTTTTGCATTCGTCGTGTCAACGCTACCGATGCCGGGTTTTTACTAACACTCACGCGTTAAAATAATCCATGTGTCTTTGAGTCGTTCCTTGGTAGATACGAGGTGTCAATCACCCGTGGTACATACCCGCATACCAGTGGCACATACCCGCCCACAGGTATGCGCCATTGTCCCGCCGGTAGTGTTTGACGATGTACGCGACGTGATTGTGACATTATTCATGTCCTGGCCAGAGCGTCATATTGGTAAAACCATTTTACCCGACCATGCTAATTTCGGTTCGCGCCAAATGAAGGGGTGATGATGACAGCACCCGACGTAAGCGGCGGATAGATAGATAGATAGATAGATAGATAGATAGATAGATAGATAGATAGATAGATAGACAGATAGATAGATAGATAGATAGATAGATAGATAGATAGATAGATAGATAGATAGATAGATAGATAGATAGATAGATAGATAGATAGATAGATAGATGCTTGCAACACGTTAAGAAATGATTCGCATTTGAAAACGCCGTAGTGGAGGGCTCTAGAAATTCTGACCATCTGGTGTTCTTTAACGAGCGCTGACACCGTACAGTATACGGAGCTCTACAATTTCGCCTCCATCGAATTGAGAGCGCTGCCGCCGGGATTGAACACGTGACCAGCAGTCGAGCGGCGTAGCCACTGTTCCACCCAGGTGGACATATCAATCCTTCGTTGAAGTATAGGTACTTATAATGTCTAACTTTGGGAATGTCCTGCTGCTCGCTGTATATCACATCAACTCTCCTTTCTTCATTAGAAACAGTGACTCCCCATTTCTATGCGCTAAAGGTGGAGCCTATTTGAACCGATTGTCCAGAGTCATACCCAGGAATTTTTTTCGGGGGGAGTTTATGTGTAGAACGGCTAACTCTAGAAACTGGTGGTTGATGTAAGTTCGTGCATATACTTTAGTATCAGCCGGAAAGCTGAAGCACGGAAACTTTTAGGGGGCCCACCACGGTCAAGCAGTGGTCATGGCTGCTGAACCAAAGGCCACGGGTTCGATCACGGCCGCGATGGTCGATGGAGGCGCGAAATGGTAAAGGTCCGTGTATACTGTGCGACGTGAGTGCACGGTAAACGCCAGATGGTCAAAATTTGCGGAGCCCTTCACTACGGCCCCCCTCAACATCATAGAGTGGTTCGGGACGTTACAGCCCAGATATTATGTTATGAATACTATTTCGGGGAGGGGGGGGGTTGTCACAACCTCCTCAAATACCCCCCCCCTCTTCCTGCGTTTTGCGGCCCAACCACTCCCTTCTCGTATTCGCAAGTTCCGATAAATGTCTTGCATTGTCCGGAAGTAAAACAATATCGTCCGCATACATCGGATCGGGAAGCCTTTGTTTCGAATAACTTATTCCTATAAAGAGAGGGGTAGCGGTTCAAAACACCACCTCTCAAATCGAAAATTTTTTTCTGTGGATGTACTAGCATGCATAAAAATGCACACATACATATCTATTGCCAAAAAAAAAAAACCCACCCCCACCACAATAAAAAAAAAAAGTTTCAGGCAAACCTTAAGTCACTATTCTGCAGCCGTCGTTGCTCTCCTGCAATAGCAGGAGATCCTGGTGCAAATTTGTTGAAGTGTGCCGCTCAACTGTCGCTATACAATACAGCAGTATGTTGCTGCTGCAGATGCTGTCATCTAGACAACGCCAGGAGAAGCTCATGGCAGCGTGTGCTCGAGATGCGCGCGGCGCCTGGTTAGAACGCCTTTTGGATAAGCCTGTGTCCACGTGACTGATACTCCTGCCTTCTGGCCCATCCTTGATTACTGCAACAATCCCCTCAAACCATCTGTCTGCCATGATGTCATCTAGCCCGGAGAGAAGGGTCAATCACCCAACACAGAAGGGCTCACCGTTTTCCGAGCCTTATCCTAGGGCGGCCAGGCTCCTATACGAAGGCGCGCAAGAGACGTGGAGCTCACCTGCTTTATTCAGGGCGTCGCAGAGGAGGTGGTACCTCTGAGTGACGCCATCAGCGATGAACTTGATGTGGGGCGCCATCTCGTATCCCGACGAGCAGCGCGCCTCATGCTGCGTCTCACGAGCGCACTGGTCGTACGTGTCCACTTCGCTGTAAAATGACAGAATATATATATATATATATATATATATATATATATATATATATATATATATATTATATATATATCGTAGCAAAACACCGCCAAGTTCCTTGAACGGCGACACTTGTAGCTACTGCCTACAGGATAATGTGACATGAGTGACGCGTTTAATACGTTTGAAAGTACCATCAATTACGGACCACGTGGCCTGGAGCCCTTTCGCGACATTTCTGCTGCTCAAGCGGCGAGTGACAACAGTGCTATACGACCAACGCGCATCCATCCCTTAATCCAGGTGTCGGCAACTTTTCGAGGCGGAGGGACAAGTGGAACAATAAGGACATGCTGGGAACCGGACGGAAAATAGGGGAGGGGAGGGAGGGCTTTGCAGAAAAAGAGAATAAGTTCGACGAACTCACAATTATAGACAAAACTGGAGTCTAAATTGTGTTTGCTTAAACTACACTCAAACCTCAATATAACGAGCATGGTTATAATGAAATATCGCTCATAATGAAGTAAATGCAAGACAGTTTAGCACTAGATACAATGTTCACAATAACCTTTACAAGGAATTTTAGGATACAACGAACTTATTTTCCTTGTAAGACGCAACTTTGTATGAGGGTTGAGCGTAGCATATTTGTCATGATCAATACCAAAGGATCCTCTTTACAGCCCAGATAGGAACTATAAACTGGAGACATGAAGTGTCAAGGGGAGGGGCGTTCCGACGTCTTACTGAAGGCCGCACAAAAGGGTCTCGCCGAGGGCCGCATGCCCTTGGGTAGCCGAATCGCCGCCTCAATCGATGGCCTCGCTGTTTTCCCACTAGGAAGGAGTGCCTTCCACCTTTAAACGCGTGACGCTCTTCGTCAACCATGGCTATGTTCTTCCGGGAGACCAGTCAGCGTGAGTGCTATCAATCGCAATCTTCAAAAGGGTCCACCGTTCAAAGCACGTCGTGGTAGCTTTGATTCTGCTATCAAAGGGGAAGTAGACGAGAGTCAATGGTAGATGGCGCAGTGCTAAGTGGCACGGGCAAGCACTCAGTTGGCATCTTTGGCATAGAGAGGCTTTCCTCTGGCACACGCTCGCGTGGAGCGCATACTTTTATGACTGTCCATGGAGGGTAAGGGGGGGGGGGACAGTAACCAAAAGTTTCTTATTTTACAGAGCCCCCAGTCCATAAGATAAATTTTTCCACAGAAAACAAAACAGGCAAAGAACTACGACCACTAGCAAGAATTCATTAGCAGAACGTTAAACTCAACGAAACATGTTTGTCACAGCAAGAATGACATTGTGTTAAAACTATTTTGGGGTTGGGTGGGGGAAGTTGGTTGGGGGTGCAGTTCACTTATGCATATGCTTTCCCCTCAATTCACTTGGATCTTCCCTGTTCATTTCTCTTTTCTATCTAATTGGCATTGACAGCCATGTTCTTACGGCATGGAACAACGATTTATTTCACAATAAATTATGCACGTGCTTACTATGCACCCGCTATAACCCGGGCATTAACAGGAACTGGCAGTCATTCTACATGAACAGGAACTTTTGCCTGAGTCCGCTAAAGTGGCATAAGTGTATTTACCCACAGATGAAAGCAAACAGATAGATCAAGATTTGACACAGCCGTAAGGCGTAGCAGGCCGGGGTTCCCTCTAGCACGTCTCGCAGAATGCAACTCAACAAGCCGCTGGGCACAATATTGACAACCCCCGGTTCCTGCTGTAAGCGAACGCAGTTTGAAAAATGGAAAAACGGGCCACAGTATTACTATTTTTGAACAGGTGCTCTCTGGGCTTGAATTCTTCGTAGCTTGCGTTTGAAAACTTCTTGAAATCTTGAATACGTGCACGACTGCTCTGCGGTATTTGCAAACCATCATGAACGCTGCCTCATCTGCAACTTAACATACCGGAAAACAGACGGAGCATGACTTGCGACTCTGAATAATTATTTTTCACAATTAAAAAAAATTCAAGAACAAACCAGCACAGTCGATAGTTTTGTGAACGCAAACAGCGTAGCAGCGCGATGAGTATAGCGCTGACAATCGGGAGAGTTGGTACGGATGCACAGATTTGTTGCACTGTTCTCCACGCAGCTCCAGCACCAAGGTACAGTCGGCCAGAACTTTAACTATTGTACTCAGCGACCACTTTTTTGTCTGTCCGCGCCATACTACGAAACGAAGTTGCAAAAAATTGTTTCGTGGACCTGTGCTTTGTGGGCATACAATTGTCCTCACCTTTTTGTTTAACTTAATTCATTTCCATGCGAAAGATGCACAAAAAAAAAAAAAACTGCCACTCACGCATTAGACCTAAAGATTTGGCCGACTGCACAGTATCAATCAATTAAACAGCTTTTTTCACCAAAAACAAACTAATTTTTAAGGTAAAAAAGGGTGTCCTATAAAAAACTGTCCAATTACAGCTTGACAAAGCCCCAACCACCCATCGGCGGTGAAACGAGATGGTACAGCATTTGATCACAGAAAAGAAAAAAAAAAGAACATGCGCAACAAATGCTAAATACTTCAAGTATGCGTTACAATGTACAATGCGCAAATGTATACAAATACGCATGCCGCTTCCTTGATTACAGAACGGAGCTATAACTGGGCTAGTGCATCTTGAGGTAGGTAAGGCAAATCAGAGCTCCGATTGTGATAGCAGTGCTTCTTTCTTTTTGTTCGCCAATTCATGTTATTACGTTTTAGTGAATAAGGTTGTGCGCTTCCGAACAATTGTATGTTAGTGTTAGCAGCAGTTGATATTCAAAGTAGTTAAGTGTGTATATATATATATATATATATGAAGTTATCAGGATCCTGATATCATATATGACCACTGTGGGTGATTTTGTTTTTTTGTGAAGTCAGGAACACTTTCTTTTCCTGCGGAGCGGTGCCCTCTTTAACCCTACTGAGTGGCTCGGCAGCAGAAAAGACCCCCCCCCCCCCTTCCCTTGCCCCTCCGCCTGCGCCATCCTGAGAACGTGGGTAAAACTTGTTCTACCCCTGTCGAGCGTTCTTAAGTAACTGTACTACAATTCGCATGCTTTTATCGTTACTTCATCTTCAAATTTTTTTCACACACGAACAGAAGCTCTACGGAACTTTTTTTTTTGTTCCAGAACAGAAACGGAACAAACCTTTTTGCGGTGGAACGGAACAGCGAAACGAAAAACATTTCGTACCGACAACCCGCTAGAAGATGGTGCTTAACAACCGAGCGACGATTGTGCAGAGACGAAATTATAGTGTGGTGACTTACGGGCAGATCGACGTGAGTGACACGGTGTCGTGGTTCTGAAACACGCGAACGGCGCTGTCGTAGAATCGGCTTCCGCAGCTCATGAACTTCTGGAGGGCTTTGCCTGGATGGCATTCCTTTTCGATCCCGCTGGTTTCGTCTGCAGTCATGGAGGAAGGAAATGTCTGCAGTGACGACTCCCGGAATGAGAACCCTCAAGAGGTATACGCAGATTATACACTCTAAAAGAGAGAGTGAGTCGAAAGAGGATTCTGACTCTTGGGGAACTCACCTAGCCGCTTTTGGAAGGCAGAAACAGAAAAAGAGAGTTGCCATTTAAAAGGGAGTCATGTAGACCCTCGCGAAGCGCGTTTCGATTGCCTTCCCTGTCAAAGGCACCGCCGTATAGGCCGTACATATCGCGCTTTTGCTGTTCGCTGTCGCTGTGGCGGGTTCCCCCCAGGCGACTGGTTGTCGCGTGTGGTAGTGGTTAGAAGATAAGAAAATGCACCTAATTTCTGCAACCCGGTCGGGAGCACGGCGCAGTGCCTGAGGGGAAGGGAAAAGGGAGAAAAGAGGAAGGAAGAGAAAAGATTAAGTGAGCAGTGGCACGGTCGTCATCAGCACGAACAGCAGTCCGGAAGCAAGGGTAGGGGTGACAAGGGGCCCGTCCTCAGCGGTAGATGTGTTGTCGCGTGTAGCCGCCAGTGCCTTTGCTGCCGTCTCTCTCTCTCTCTCTCTCTGTCTCCTCCGTCTGTGAATGCGTATTGTTGATTGCGCTGGTCGCATGAGCGCCGTGTTCGAGCGAACGTGCGCGTAGACGCGTTGGCGGTCACGCATGTCTCTGTACCCGAAATGACGCTCGGATAAAGCTTTCACGACGGATCAAGTCATTCATGGAGACACGGACGTGTGCCTGCTAACGGTGAGTGTGCTGTTTTCGTAGGTACTAATGGCACAACGCTCGCTGCGCGTCTGCAGCTCTGCGGAAGTAGGCTGACATGCGTTCGCGGGCAGGCTGCAGACGTCCAATTAAAACTGTTGCTTTAGGCGGTAAGCGATTGCAGCACTCATACAATGAGTTATGCCATCACTTATAAAGGGTGACAAGTCGCTAATCGCACATTCTCTCTGCACTGCTGAAAGGGCTTGATATCGTTTTAGGGTGGAATTTAGGCTACGTCGTAATAACTTTTCTATCGAGCTTGCAGCGTGCTTTTGTGGGTGCAAACTTAAAAAAAAAAGAAACGCCTATGTACCGGGACGCACTGCATAAAACAGCTTTTGTAGACGTTAGTTTGAGGTGCAAATATGGCGCGATGCTGCCAGCACGTACGCAGTAGTCATTTACATGTTTACGAGACGCCTCACCAGTGACGGGAAAAGCTCTAGACTCCCGACGGCGTGCGTTGGTTTCTCTCTCTCTCCCTCTCTCTCTCTTGCTGTTATTGTGTTTTGCTTAGATCTGCGATGACCTTCGGCACTATAACGGAATGGGGTGAGTTTGACTATGGCAGCTATGAGCGGTAGCTCTAGGACATTGCTGATGTCAATGTAGATGGCGTCCGTGTGTGTTGGTGTCGTTTTGGCGCTCGTACTTGCATGTATTTAACCGAGTCCAAGGACATGTTACGTTTGTAAATCCCGCGCTAAATAATCATTCGTGGCGTGTCCCTGACTGCCAGAGGATTGGCTTGTTTGTCGGAATATGCCAGGGTCTTATTCTCAATGAAAACTTTGATGCAAGCTATCAAAAAATTGTTTTGATACGTGTAAGCCAATGCCTATATATTGTAGGTTCGGAGCCACGACTTTTTTTTTTTTACTTGGGCGGAAAAGGGGGCCTTGAAAAACCCGTATATTCATTATTTATTACTTGCAAAACACCTTCCTTTATCCGAATGTGCCGGTTCACTGTGCCGGTTTGCATTTGTTGTTTTGTTATGTGCTTGTTTTGTCTGGGTAAATTACTTATTGCGTAGGTTTTGCCATCTCTTCACGATTTTGTTTCTCGTCTTGGCATCACGTTCTTCTTTTCAGGTTCCTTTTTTTCGTGGCTACTCACTCTAAACAGGAGCGACAACATTGCAAGCCACAAGTTCGATTCCTCCAGCCGTCACGACTTTGACTTATTCATAATCATAAGCAATAAATATGGAAACATAAATCGGATATCTGCAGTTTATTTTGCGCGACTTGACACCATGTACATCACACATGTTTTGGTTGGCTATACTCATAGAAGCATGTAAATAAAAATAACCTCATTGGAATTCACAGAATATCTTACCGCGCTCTTCGTATTGCTCTACTGAGCATAAGACGAGTGTAATTAAAGTTATGCTAAATTTGAACTACATTTTTTGCAGTGGCTGGGCACAACAGTGAATATTACTGTAGATGCTTAAAGAATACTTCACTATTTCCAGCAGTAGTCGAGCAAAGTAGAGCATGGGTCGATTGAGTAGCTTAAAATAACCATGAATTCGCTTGACCCACGTAGAAGCGTCAATGGCAAGAGTCGCCCGATTCCACGAGGAGTGGTAATGGGATCCTTCGCACTAGAGTCCTTTCACTCTTCCTTAGAGGGTCAGAGGACTCTCCCTGAGAGCGCCGACTCTGGCCCCCCTAGAGAGTCACCCTGTCTTCTAAGGAGTGTTGCATACGTGGCAAGTGAAAACCAGCCAAAAAAATTCAGGTATACTCAGGTTTGTTTTTTTAGTGTACGGACATCAACGCGACCTCCAAGATCGGTGACGTGCGTGCTCGATTTCTTAAGTCACGCTTGCCCTCCCACTGGTTCTTAAAACTGTCACGTGAACATGAAGTTATGAAGACATCAATGAGTTAGGATTCATTCAATACGTGTTTCAGCAGTGTAAACATTCTCGGTTGCTGGTGCAATAGCGGTTAGAAAATATTGCCAGAACACACTATGTTGATTTTCTGGAGACGAAGGCACGCTGCACACACCTAGGATTGGACTAAAGAAGTCATTAGGCCACTTAACTTTTATGGGTGCAAAGAATGCATAAAGACGCACCCTGATTTTATGCATATACGATCGACCTAAATTCGTGTGTGAGGTCAATGGTTACTTTTGCAAGTGAAATTCTCATTGACGTAACTTTCTAAGCTCAACGAATTGTAACGTATTGTATAAAGACCAAACCACAGCAGCGTCTTGAAATATTCCGATTGCAAAGGATTGTAAAGTTTTGTTCTAGGTCTACAGCACGTTTAAAATCTACAGCTTTCTCTTTTAATAACGAAAAAAAAAAGAGCTGAGTGCTGTTTTTCTCAAATTTACCTGCATATAGCTGCTCATCTGCGGAGGTGCACCAGCGCTTTCATGCAATTGGGAACTACAATTGTACAAAATTTCAGCATTACTGGAAGACCATCTAGTGGAAAAAAAACTGTTCAATTAAATTACACGTATACGAAAAGGTGAAAAGCTGTAAAGATAGAGAAACATTTCTCACTCAGGCAATCGGGAAAGTACACCTGCTCCATTCTCAGCAGCAGTGAATCGTTGAACCGCGCTGCCCCTGCCACGTTAGCACAGTGTGAGCTCACCCAGCTGTCCCTCAGGCAGGTCGCGAAGTCTGCGAAGTCCCTGCGGAGAAGAAAAAAGGTCAATAGTGACGTATCGCTCAGAAAAGTGACGTCACAGCCTGCTCCTAATGAACGAAAGAAAACTGCACAGTATTTTATTGATAGCCTGCTCTTTCAAAGTACTTGCCCTAATCGCAATCATCATTATTTTACTCATTGACATTAAGAAACGTCTGTAGGACCCCAGGTGTCCACCGATTCTTTTCAGCTATGGCACTGTCTGAGGCCGGCATGACCTTCAATTTGGGCTTGCGCGTGATGGCATGCGTCTGCATTACACGATCTTTTACATCACCAGTGCACTTCGCACACTTCTAACACTTGGCCCACCCTGGGTCTCCAGGACCCAGCGTTTGCACCGGTGCTATCCAGCACTGCCCCGGACCAAGATAACCTATGATTTTGACCTGCTCATGACGTCCACAGCACCTGCATCAGATACGGTCCTCTACATTACCAGTACACTTCACAGAATTATAAGCGCCACCTCTCTTGATGACTGGCACACTCCCCGATCCTTGGTCACTCCCTCTGGTAGCCTAGGCAGATCTGGTGGTCAGTGAAGGAGCTCCGAGCAAGATCTCGGGGTTTCAAATTATTAAATCCATTCTCTCTTCTCTCGCTTCCACTAACAATCCACATTTTAAACAATAGGTCTCCCGACATTACACTGACGCCGGGAGTGGTACTGTTGGGCAGCTGCTATACAGCACCGCAGGTGTTACCGCCAACTATTGAAATAAGTCAGTGTCTTTCCCATTGACGCCATAGCATTCAGAGGTTGCAAATTCAGTTCTCATGCTTTGCGAACTTCGCTAATTCAGAGATATCTTACCTGCAGTTTTCCGTGAGGTCGCCCAGCACCGCCTTGACTTTCAGTTGAAGGTGTCGCAAGCACTGGATTTTCAATTCCGGATACCTCTCGCCGTTACACGAAAATCCTGCGAGCCCGAGGATCGGTGAACAGTTTTTCCGCTGTGAATCATCAATTCGTATCGGAACATCCGTCCACACCGTAGAAAAACTCTTTTCATTCTAGAATAATTGTCTATACTGCCAACCACATTGTCACGCACTTCGGGTGAGGCCCCGCCGATTCAACACCGACGTGCGGCAGACTCGCAGGCTTCCACTTTACGCTTCGGCCTGCGACGCCCTAAAGGCCTCGAAGTGGCACATTTCAAATTTATTTGCAGGTTGCTCGACCCGTGCGGGGTTGCACGTGTGGTGATGTGTGGGCCTGACCGACGCACTCATAGAGCAGACACGGAGTTTGATTACACATAAACAAGCATTTAATTAAAACAGGGGCAAAGGCAGGAGGTTACAAAATACAAAGGAGGAAAACTGATACGTGCGATAGAAACAACATCTATATAACAAAATGCGCTAAAAACACTACAAAAGATACAGGCTAAAGACAGATATGCGGAATGTTAACAAAATAACAACAAGATGGAAATCGTAAAAGAGGGCTACAAGGAAATAATTACAGAATGATCATTGGTCGCGCTTTTGAATTTCTACGTGTGTCGCAGCGCACACAACTAGAAATAATAAAAAAGGCTGGTCATAATAATTTAACAGTTTAAAAAAAAGTCTCAGTAAAAAGTTCCATACGGACCAGGCCAGCTCTTGGTACACGTAGGGGAGTTGACGGGTGCCGCTGAAGATCTCGCCGGCTTGGTAGACGACGAGGGTGCCCGGAATTGCAGCCGTCTCAATACGTTGCACGGGTCACTCCATGCTCGCCGCCTACGCGAGACTCGCGACATCGACGACCGCACTTGTTGCTGGCTGTACGTCAACTGCCTATTCCGATGCAGTTCAAACCTCTTCAGGGGCGTACACGTGCTCCCGTCCCATCTGGGGGTAATTTTCCTTTTTTAGACCGCCGGTGCCCCTTTCGGTACAGGTGCAGGGAAGACGAGCCGGCGCCACGCTGGGTCGTTATAGTCGCCGGATGTCGTCCCCCCAACACAAAAGCGCCTTTCCTTGGAAGATGGGCCCGCGGATGATCCGAAAATTGGAGTCGTTTGTGACACACATCAACCCAACCGTTCACAAAACGAGACAATATAATCGTTCCCGCAAAGGTTTCCCGCCAACCAATTAATTTGGCTGTCAGTCAATGATATTCAAGTTATATTCATAATTTACGGACCCAACTGACAAGAATGTTTTGGTTAACGTGTCTAAAATATATATTTTGTCTTTAGGGCATGAGACTTTTTTTAGTGAACGACTGTTTTAGTGAGGAAAGATACCATGCTCCGCTCGATTTCTAAAACGGAATGACAGCATTAACTGCGAGAGACGTGACTTACTTCAAGTTCGATATCTGTGTTTGCATACCATCATCAATGGTACAGCGTCATCTAGGGGCAAACACACCTATAGGGGCGCAAGTTTGGGATGATGGTCCTGATTTACGGTAGCGAGTGAATATTTTCTACTTCGTCCTAGTTTAACGTAGAATCGTCGGCTAGACTGTCTGGGGCACCTACCTGATTATATATTTTATATTTCCATGCATGAAAACCCGTAAGTGCTCATGAATTAATTGGTAATCATCAACGAGTGCAAGGAAGCCTCTGTATTCTCACGCATTTGTTAAAACGACGTGCACGCTTCCCGGTATATGCCTCATGCTGCACTATTTTACCTGTGCACGGGAGCGCCAGGAACGCCGTGATGATGCAGATTTGACACGCTAGAGCCTTCATCGTCTCCGCAGCACTTCTTTGCGGCTGAAACTGCGGAATACCGGCACAGCGCAAGCAAACACTTGCACGTACAGGGAGCGTACCTTGACACCGACAATGGCGCCTTTCCTTCACTTCTTCTGCTTTGTTGCCGGTTTGTTGAATCCCACGTGAAACGCGTTTGGACCCCCTCTGAAAAAAGAAAAAAAAACATGAATTATAAGCATGGCAAAACTTAAAGAAAAAATTACCACCCAAGCACTCCGTACAGATCAATCGCTAAGTTAATCTCGACGGCTCATTAGAGTCTTTCTCAATTACTGATGACGTCAGTCCGGACGATGTTTGCCTGCCGCTTGTCCCCTTACTCGTTTTCATTCAACCAATGCGGAGTAGTAGGAATTTGCTCATTTCTGCGGTCTATACGCGCCGAGAGTTCTTTATACAAATACGACGGACGAATCTTAAGGCCGTAGCCACAGAGCACGTTTCACAGGAATTCCGATGTTGGCGGCGGCGGCGTCGTGGGCGGTGAGCGAAAAATTAAACATCGCTCCAAGTCGACTGTCAATCCAAACTTTCATGTTACTTGTGACGAAAAACTCGTAAAGACGACGCCATCATGTACCCTACGAATCAGCTTCTTTGTAGCAGCACCTGAAATGTACATATATGCCGGCTAACCAGAAAAAAAAAAAAAGGCCTGTTGTTGTCAACGGGATTCTTCTGTATGTCAAACGAAAATTGCTATCGAAATATCATTACATAAAGATGGAACTGGAGCCAATTATAACCATTAACTAGGCTATACTTGTCTTTTAGGGGGCGCTCGTACGTCCTGGTGGGTCTCACGGGAATACACCGATTCAGGGAGTACAAGGTGATATGGGATGGACATCATTTGAGGGCAGGGAAGCTAGCAGCAAGATAAAATTTGAGAAGCGATTGAGAGAAATGGGGAAGGAGCGTTGGGCTAGGAAGGTATTCAGCTACTTGTACATGACGAATGTCGATACAAAATGGCGGAAGCGAACCAGAAAATTGAAAGGTAATTACTTAGAAAACAGCAGGGGGCCAAACCAAAAAGAATTATAGGTTAAGAAGAAGGTGAAGGAAGCTGAGATTGATATGGGGAGAATTGGCATGATTAAGAAGTCCGCACTAGAGATCTATCGAACTTTTAAGCAGGAAATTGCCAAGGAAAGGATCTATTATAATACTCGGGGTAGTTCTCTACCGTTTGAGGCCAGGATGGTAGTATTGCGAACTAAGACATATCGGGCCAAATACGAAGGTGTGGACACGGTATGCAGTGCGTGTGGAGAGGAAGAAGAAACTGCCGAACACTTGATAATGTTCTGTAAAGAGCTTCACCCTATAGTTCAGGATGATGGCGCAGAGTTTTCCAAAGCACTGGGGTTGAAGGACAGGGAGGGCAACATAGACTTTAAGCGGGTAGAATTAACTAGAAGGAGGTTATCTGATTGGTGGCTAAAGTCAAGGCACGAGTGAAAATCAAACTCTTCACTGCAAAGTACGAATCCTCAAACTCACTTTCTAGGGAAAAAAATAAATCTAGTTTTTGGTTCATTAAGAATTACGGCTTGGTGGCGCTAGCCACCACCCGATCTAAAGGGTACAGCCATATCCATCCATCGTCAACTTGGCGTTCTGCCAGGTTGCTGATGAGAATCTCGCGCGGCCCTCGCAGAGCGAACCGTGTGCATGGTTGAGATCTGCTCCACCAGGTGCCACGAGGCATAGAGTTTCCTAAAATTAACCAGAAGGAACCCTGGCGTTGCGATCGTTCAGCCACCATGGACATGATGGATAGTACACGGATATGCTTATGCTTCGAACGCATTTGTGGCGTTCTTTATTGTTTTGTTTTGGTTTTTTGCTTCGAATGAAAGAACTGACCGTTGTGAACTTCTTGAGCCCATTTGAATCGGCGAGCCTGGAAAGGTTAAAGCGGTGAAGCGGAACTGCTGAACATTTGCCGAACTTCGTCTTGCGACAAAGTGGATTCAGGCGATGTGGAGCCAAACGGAGCCAGAAGAATGAATGAAGATTAGACAAATGTACGCACTACCCTGCTGGCGGAAGCAGTGCGTGTTGCAGCTCCCATAGACAGAATACAGCACCACAGTTCCCTCCAGTGTATATGTACGAGGATCCCAGTGACGTAGGGTACCCCGATGCCCGCGTTCCTCGACACAGGTTAGTGACCGCCATGGTCTGCACGGTCGTCATATGGGGTCTGACGGGGAAGCTATCCTGTAGTGTGATGTTACCATAGTGGGCCAAACAGTGGACGCTATCATCACTCTACGAAGGAATTCACAATCAACGTTAAATTTAAAAATAATAATCTCAAAATTATTTTAGCTCTTACTAAATATTAATCATAAATCCAGTGTGTATAATTCGCCCAACTCTTGGTCGATCCCCCTGAGTGGGTAGGTGCCAATTATTCTAAGAAGCATCATCATCATCTTTAACGGTGGCATCTAGGCTCCCCATGCTGCTCAAACAAAAACCGCTGTTCTTTCTACAAACTCAGTTAATTTCAGTCGGGATAGTTAATTGGCCCTTATATTAGGCAGACTTATACTTCAATGCCATAAGTTTTTAAGATGATCTCCTGACGTGAGCCACAACCATCAATTTCGGAACACTTGTCTGAATATTGGAATAATCGGAAGAAACTGCTTGGAAGAGACAGGCAGGCAGGCAAAGAACTTTATTAATATCCGGAGGTGGCGCACAATTCCCCTTAGGGGCAACACCGGTGGGCCACTCCCATGACGGGACGGGGAGATTAAACTCCACGGATATGTCGTGGGCCCTCTGGATGGCCCTAAGCTGGTCTCGTTTGTCGTGAATTGTGAGGAGACAGGTCCAGTCCGCCTCCCTAGAGGGAGACTCGCTGCTCCATCGCAACGCAGGGCATTGCCACAGCATGTGTTGGAGAGTACATTTGGGATGACCACAGTGCGGGCACCCCGCGGATCTATGCCAGCTATGTATTTAGAGCAAGTTATAGAGGCGATGCATACGCTTCCGTCTGTAAAAGTCGTAGAGTTATGGACTGAGGTCTTGTTAAGTGTGGGTGCGGGAGAGGGTATTTCCGCCGCTCCAACTGGTCATGTTTGCAAATTTCATTAAAAGTTGGCAACGGGTCTCTCAAGAAACAAGTGACGTCCTCAGCCTTCGAGAGGTTCTCCCCGGCGTGGAATGTGAGGCCTCGCGCCCGGGAGTGAGCCAACTCGTTGGCATTAAAGGGCCACTCACCAGGTTTGACAATATTGAGCTAACAAGCGCAATGCGTAGGCGAGGCGTTCTTGAGCACATCTGCCAAAATTTGCAACGCTACACGCCGCGGAAACGGGGCAAATTTCAAGATGAAAGTTGCTCCCCCTCCCCTTTGCCGGCGCACGCGTAGAGAATGAGGGCATGACGTAGGCGTAGGAATGACCCTACGTACACGGCGATGCAGTGACGTTGGTCCTCTACCTAGACGACTCTGCTCTGACGTTGTCAGCTGTATATCACGTGATATGGCAAAAATTATTTAACACAGCATGCGTAGTTTATGTATTTGTTGGTTTAAGAGATGAATAAAACTTGAAATAAATAATGAGACGCAATAAAAAAATTGTGCGCGTTTTTCTTACATTTATCTCATGAAATACTACGAGAGGCGGGGCTAATGTGCCAGCGTTTCGCATGAGTTCGTGTCCCCGCGGTCAGCGCATTGAGCAGACGACCGCCGTGGAACGCTCCTACGCGTTCGCGCACTGATTGTGCTCATCTACTCTACCGCGTCTAAGCCAGCGTTTCCAAACAATCCCGCAGAAACAGGCAGAAGACCACAAAATAACGCCTGTCAACAAAGCAACGCCACTCGCGTGCACGGGTGCTGGGCTTGTTCGCGCACGTCATGCACACGTCACCTCTTGGTCGGATGCTGAGAGTGTGGGGAAGAGATTTGGCTTGCGAAGGCTACGCTGAGGAGCGGCAAGGGTTTCGAGATCGCCTCCTCTCACCCTCGTTTCGCGCCGCTTCAAAAAACCAGTTTTATCCGCTCGTAATGAACTGATTCGAAAAATGTTTGTGGCAAAACAATCCTCATGGGACACCCAACAACTTTCACTGTCTAACTAAAATTCGGTATGGGGCCTGGTGAGGGGTCCTTTAAGGATGGTTCCGTGTACGTGTCGGCCAATGTGTAGCGGGGGAACTAGATTATGTGTTTTTGCCATGTGTTTTCTGCCGCTTGGAAGAGACACAAGAGTGTCGCCCGATGCTCGTGCTGCGCTCAAAATCTGTCTATACCTCTTTTCTTGAGTTGGTGGTTTTCTGCATCGGCTTGACCTGTCAACGGTAATATGCATGCCTGTGGTACAGGCACCGTCCGCTGACCAGGGGGAGCTGACACTTGCCCATGCTAAATTCACTGACGTTGGCCGTTAGGGGCACGCTGAAAAGAGACGCGCGCACACGTCCCCGCGTATCACTGCTGCAATCCGCCCAGTCACGCGTGCAGGGAGACGCGGAAATCGCGTTACATTTTGACTGACCCCAACCGATTAATGCGTTTTTTTCTCCGCTAGGCATTGCGTTTTGGCGCCTCAGTCACTGTGGAAAACTCGACTGCACCATGCCTACACCGCATTTTCTGCCATGATCGGCATCTTGCCAACCACTCATGTACCGTCGCCCCGCGACAGGACAAAGTTTCGTTCGCATGTTACGCGACATCACATCCCTCGATACAACGACAAACACAGAACTTACACGCCGTATGACCGCAGAAAGACTTTTAGGGGCGAAGCTTCTTAAAGCGGCACCTGTTCGGCCCTCGTAGTCGTACTCATAGGGTGTAACAATTAAGTGTTACATTTTGGCCTCCAAGGTGGTGCCGGTAGGAGATTTCTCCTGTGCTTTGTTGAACAATAAAAAGTTCGCGGCGTGCGCGTTAACTAAAAGCCGAATGCTCCTGTCTCTCATTCCCCATTAGCAGCCATTGGCATGTA